CAGAATTGAGCTTGCCAAAGAAAAGGAGAAGAATGATGGAATTCTTCAGAACATGCTAAATCATCTCCAAACTCAACCCTCCTGTTCCTCCAAGCCTTAGGACTCCTAGCCTTTGTCTCCTGAACTTGTCTAGTACCCCCAGTGACCCAAATTAGGTATTTTTCTGTTTTTGCTCATGGTTTGAATGTTTTTCTTTCTTTTTGTGGATTGTTAATGGCAACATATCTCTATCAATGACAACTGTTGTTTTCTCTTGTTCAATGATTATTCTGACCTTGATAGTTTGAATATGTTCGTTTGATTACTGATGATTGAACCATGACTGCACTTGCAGTTGCCCCAGTGGCCATGAGTACTTATTAAAATCTGGGATTCACATTGTGTATGCAACTTTTCGATGATGCCAAAAGGGGGAAGAGATATTGTGCTTACACATTATTTTGAAATAAGTGATATTTATAACCTAATTAACCTGTTCCTTAATAATAAGTGAATTTTCTAAGTTTAGTGTTGATGGTTAAGCTGAGTTCTTACAGGTCCCTTGATCAGTAAAAGCACGGAGTTTGTCATCATCAAAAAGGGGGAATTTGTTGGCCCAAGAACAGGTGAAGTTTTGAAGAATGACAAATGAACTCAGTTATGGACCAGGTCCATCTTGTGAAGCACAGTCATGATCAACCTACACATGTGAGATGCACGTGAAGGAGATAAGTCATACTGATCAAGCAGCAATATCTCTTGATCTGATCGAAAAGGTTGCATATTGGATAAGGGGAGAAAGTCTCCTATATGAAGAGAACACAATCCGGATGAAGATAGTGTTGGAGTTTGAGGTCTTCAAGGACTCAACTACGATAGAAGATCAGCAATTGAGTCCCAATCAAACTCTGATTACTAACCTATTAAAAGACAGTGATTGTTCTCTTTTACAGGTATTGCACAAACGCAGAAGTTAAACTAAATTGAGAGCAAAAGAGCAAGGCGATTTTGCAAGCAATTTATGTGAGATTTGAGTGTGCACTCCTGAAGCTACTTGAATGAGATAGAAGAACCAATTCCATTGTGTCTTTCTTTTATTGAAATCCAATCCACGAAATAATTTGATCTATGGACAGCATCATTGTGGTAAAGGTCGTAATGCCAGAGGAATCATTACCGCAAGGCATAGAGGGGGAGGTCATAAGCGTCTATACCGTAAAATCGATTTTCGACGGAATGAAAAAGACATATATGGTAGAATCGTAACCATAGAATACGACCCTAATCGAAAAGCATACATTTGTCTCATACACTATGGGGATGGTGAGAAGAGATATATTTTACATCCCAGAGGGGCTATAATTGGAGATACCATTGTTTCTGGTATAGAAGTTCCTATAAAAATGGGAAATGCCCTACCTTTGAGTGCGGTTTAGTTCAATTGTAGTAGGTGGTTTAAAGTTGTACCTTTCAGCTTTCATAGAAGCAATTGTATTAGGTAGTTAGAGTGTTTAAGTTATAAGCTAACTTGAAGTTGTCGCAATAGTTGAGGTTGTGTGCTACAACGGGATTAGAGTTAATCCTTAGGTTTACAAAGAGTTTTTGTAAATGCTGTTTTGGCTCAGTGATATTAGTGGAAGTTTGGGAAAATCCTACTGAGTAGTAGGTCGTGGTTTTTTCACCTTTTGAGTCAGGTGTTTTCCACGTAAAAATCTCTGTATTCTTTATGTTATGTACTTATTATTCTGCAAACAGTAGTAGTTAGAACACCTGGAAGAACCAGGTTCTTCTAGAGCGAAAATTGGGTACCACACAAATCACCCTCCCCCCCCCCCTCTTGTGTGGTATTGACGCTTAGAACATCAATTAACATGTCCTAGTCTAGCATGCCATAGAGAAATAGACTCAATCATATAAGCAGAAGTAGATACATTTCCATTGATAACATCAGAAATATTAAGTACAAAGAGTCCTTGGTGACAATAGCCCTTTCCCACAAACACATTATTTTGGGTCATTATGATCTTATCAGATTTAAATGACACTTTCACTCCGGCTCTTCCCAACAAGGATACAGAGATCAAGTTTGCCCTCATAGTAGGAACATGCAGTACATTAACAAGGGCTAAAGTTTTTCCCGAAGTGAGTTTCAGGAGGACTTTACCCTTACCCAAGACTTTGGTAGTACTTGAGTCTCCAAGGTAGACCTCTTCTCTATCATCCTCTACAGGAGTATAAGAGGAAAATGCTTCTCGATTTGCACAAATGTGTCGAGTAGCCCCGGAGTCTATCACCCATTCTTTTGCATGTGCTACAATGTTTACTTGAGAAATGACAGCTGCAATAATATCACCTCCTTCGGCTAAGTTAGCCTTAGGAGTATTAGTTTTTCCTTTGTCATTTCCTGCTCTTTACCTGCACTGTGAGGCATGATGGCCCGGTTTTCCACAAACAAAACAAGAGCCTTTTTTTCTTTTAAGGTTAGGATTTTTAGGCTTGCAACCTTGAGACTTATTCTCGTACCTTTTGCAGTTGTTGTTGCTGCTTTGCACTAAGTTTGCTTTAAGAGCTGTCATCCTAGCTTTGGCAGATTCTTTTCTGTTGGAATCTTCAATTAGGATGTGGGTCACAATTTTCTCAATGGTAAAATTTTTCTGTTTGTGCTTTAAGTTATTTTTGTAGTCACTCCATGAGTCAGGCAGCTTCTCAATTAGCACTCCAGCAGCAAACTTCTCTGGTAAAGACATCCCCTCGGCCTTCAAGTCTTCTAACAATTTTTGAAATTCGTTGATTTGTACGTTCATTTCTTTATCATCTCTCATCTACCACTGATAAAAAATTTCTACTATAAATTTTTGTTTTATAGCGTCTTCAGCAGTGAATTTTTTAATTAAGGCTTCTCATATAGCTTTTGCTTCTTTATAACTGCAATACACGTCAAACAGTTCATTAAAAATAGTTTGCAATATGGTATGACGGCATACCTTGTTGGCGTGTTGCCATGATTCCACTATTTTATTATCAGCGTCTGCACTAGGTTGTGGATGCAGCAGTGCATGTGCAACACCATGGACATCAAGCCCAATGCTTGCAATTTTCATTGGCGAAAATTTCAATATTTGACACATCTGGAAATGGACTGGCATATGGCAATGCAACTGGGGCTGGAGCAGCGGACGTAACGCCAATATTGGCGGTATCTGTAGTATTTTCAGCATCAGTGATATTTGCCATAGTTTCTTAGATTGTAGTAAATGAGAGCAAGAATTTCAATGACACTATTTCAATATTCTTTCTAAGTAGATACACGAATTAGCTTGAGTCGTGCTGGGCACTATCCTAAGAAACTATTTCAGCAGTGTGAAATATTTCTCCAGGATTAAACAAGTTTACCTCTATTTTATTTAGAGGATACAGGAATCAGCAAAATATTTATATTACAATAATCCAATAAGATTGAAAAAGAGAATAGGACAAAGAAAATTTATAAGAAAAATTGGAAATGAGAGAAAGAGAGAATGATGGGCTCAACTTTTTTTTGAAAAGTTTATGGAAAATTGATAAATTTATTACTTTGGTTTGACTAAAATGAGACAAAGATAAACCGAAGGGGAAAAAAAGAGAAAAAGATGAGTCATTATTTATGGTCCCAAAGGAAAGGTGAGATTATTAATGACTACGTGATAACTCTCTCGTGAAATATGATTGTGAGTTGTGACATCCAATACTCACCAACCATTTTAGCAAAGATCACTTTAAGGAATTAAAACTAAATTTATAAATAAATAAAAAATAAAAAATAAAAAAGAGGGGTGGATAGAGCAATGATTGAAACATCCTTTGGTAAGAGATGTCATCCGATGTCGTTTTACCACCAAAAAAAAAATACTGTATTGTTTAGAAAAAAGAAATATGTACATATCTATGTATAAAAAAAGTGGGGATAAAAATAAATAGTGGGATGAGTATGGCAATGATAGAGTGAATAAACTTTCCCACTCAACTAACACATCCTCAATAATTCCTTCTGGCATGACTAGTGACCTATCTGCTAACTGTAAAGTGATTGTAGTAGGTCTAAGCACCCCGATGATATGAGACTAGGTTTACTTTTCTCTTACGAGTCTAAAGACGCGGACAAACAAGAAGAAGATGATTGTGGACTTAGATTGCCATAAATACTCTAACAATGTGGATAACACACAGTGAATCTCCAAAATTGACTCATGGATCATCATAATGGGTCGTGTCGAGCTTAGCTCGAGAAGGAGATGATTGGATATACGAACAAAGTCCTACATTAATAGTTAAAAAGATTTGGAAGCTACATATAAGGTATAAAATACTTTTAACGATGTGAAGCCTTTTGAAAAAAAAATATAATCTTGATAAACATCATTTTTGGGATAGAAATTAAAAATAGACTGATGCTGCTTGCATAAATTTTAGATTCGCCGTTGGTTTGTTTGGATGGTTTTTACCTACTGTATTGTATCGTATTGTTACATTAAATATAATGTTTGTTTTGATTGTTACTTAAATTTTATTGTGTCGTATTGTTAAATTCGTCGTTACGTAACGACGAAATGTGTCACTTTATGTAACGACTGATTTGGTGTGGTCGCGTCGTTACCTTGTCTTTTTCTCTCATCTCACGCTTTATTATTATTAAATAATTTTATTTTATATATTATTACACTATATTTTAATCATAATTTTTCTTTATAATATTACAAGTCTATTTCTCATATTGCTGGTGTCTGATATCATAAAACGACGGCAAATAATACAATCTATCCAAGCATTATCTTTATCAGACGATACAATACAATGCAATACTATACGATACGATACATTATAAAACTATACGGAACAACCCTCCAACAAATTTAGAGACAGAAAACCGTGTCCTAAGATTGGTATCACTTATATTCAGTCCCCACTTATCAACTCTTTTCACTAACTGATAAGATCACTCGGTATAATAGGCAAAGAAACTATTGTCTTTTCTAACTTTAATAAAGTGTTTCTTTTTAGTGAGAAGATCAATTCAGGAAGAATAAACAAAAGGCTATAAATAGTGACATAGATGATATCTTAAGGCTATAGGAAAGAATACAAGAGAATAAGATCAAGTAATTCTCTGCATGGTAGTTCTTGAAAAACAGCAAAAATGGGAACCAAGAAAATGATAGTAATGCTCCTTTTGGCCTTCTACTTTTCATGTGGTTTATATCTGGCCAAGATTTTGCCTTCTGGTACTTCTTCTTCATCTCTATCTAATCCCTTTAATTTATACCCTTTTTCCTCTTTCACTAAACCTTATTTGCTCCAATTTGTTGTTTCTTCTCTGTTTAACTCAAAACAGTTGAAATGCTGATTTTCATTATTTGACGATCCATGAGCAATCCAATTTTTGTAATTTACCTTTTTTTAATGAAGGGATATGGGCTTTTACTTGTCATCTAAATCATAGAGTAGGTAAGTTTACCCAGCCAAATTTTTTCTCCCAAGAGCACTAGTTGCTGCTTTTGAAATTCTTTAGAGAAAAGGGCAGCCCGTAGCCCGGTGCATTAAGCTCCCGATATGTCCGGGTCCGGAGATGGGTGGGACCATAAAGGTCTATTGTACGTAGCCTTTACCTTGCATTTCTGCAAGAGGGTGTTTCCATGTCTCGAACCCGAGGCCTCCTGATCACATGGCAACAACTTTATCAGTTACGTCAACTCCCCTTCAGAATTCTTCGGAGAGTAATCAAGAAAAAGAATTAGTAGAAGGTCAACAAGAAGGTGTTGAATTAAATTGTTGTGATGTATAGTTTCCTAATATCCCATTATATTGCGTATAAAAAACCATATCCTAAACCAATTGTCACTTTCCTTGTGGTGGTTGGGGGGGGGGGGGGGGGGCGCTAAAGGTAAGGAAGGGAGTTCAATTGAATCCTTCACTGGAAAATTATATTCTGCAGGTAGCAAAAACCAATTTGATGGCATTTGAGGATTTCAATTTTAAACTGATGGTTATCTACAAATTGTTTATCTGATAATTAATGTGTACTATAGAATCTTTAATTCACAAAAATCTTCTATTTTGCAGATAGCAAAGAAGTAGTAGCAGAACAACTTAATAATCATAATGTGGATGAAAATACAGAAATAGATGTTAACAGCAAATATGGCCATGCTGAAGCTCATTTAGGTGGTAAAGGAGGAAATGGAGGGGAAGAATCTCGATCTCCTTCGAATCAGGGATCGTCGAATGTCATACCAATTTACGCTGCAAACGCGCACCATAATCACCATCGTGGTGCTGCAAGCTGCCACAGAAACCACAATGAATATCTAGCCTTCGTCGCTGCAATGTTATTCGCTTGCCTTGTACTTAAGGACCCTGTGTTTATCGCGTAAAAAGCTAGTACAACGATGTCATTCTGAATCCCTGACTCGTCTCGTTCTGAGCCTTTGGCCTATCTGACATTGGGTCAAATCTGTCTAGTGATTGTTGTGTACTATGTTTGTTTAGACTTTGATTAGTTGTGGATGTATTAGGATGTTTATGTCTTTTTGTTTCCTCTTTTTCTACAAAATTTCCCTTGTATAACATGTTGATTGGATAAGCTTTATAGTTCTGTATTCAGGATTTTATCAGCTTATTTTTCTTCTTTTTTCTCCAGGTCTATTCATTTACTATCGATTGATATTAGTTGATAACAATGAAAAATGGAATAACTTGTTGAGAACTAGTTTAATAGACCTTAGGAGTTATGAGAAGTTCAAGATTTGTAACTATTTGAATGCAATGTAAGATGATTCAGACAATACCGTTATCGAAAGGAAAAAAAAAAAAAAAAGGTATACAAAATAAGCATGACAAGACTGTGATTTTCCCTTATTTTTATTCTATCTGGTTAAACCAAACAATTTAACTTTAATAGTTAAAAAGTAAAGTAAGAACATAATGTAATTATGATTAAGTAATAAATGTGTTTATGTAAGATACGTGTCTTGCATTTATTGGTTTGATATAAATACTGAGTGAGGAATAGTGTATAGATTATTCAGCAAGTCCAGTGTAATCCAACAAATGGGGTCTGGGGAGGGTAATGTGTCAGACCTTACTCCTACCTTGAGAAGATAAAAAAGAATGTTTCCATAAACCCTCGGCTCAAAGTCAAAAAGTAATAAATCCTGATTATCATGAATTTTACCACAAAAAGGCATTGATTTTCCAATCACTTCTCCTAGGAATCTTTAAAGTTAAATCAAGTGGACAACTTCATCAGCATTTGCTATATTTCTAGAATACTAGGAAACCCATATCATAGGTGAAAATCAAGATGCCCCAATTGCCTTTCACCAACTACTATAAACTTAATGTGTCAAAGAGTAGTATATATAAGCCATCCAATTATAGTCCACTGCATTTTTATAAGAAATACACATCAGATTGTACCTTTTTCCAAGCTTTCTTTTTATCCTGTTTTGAATTCAAAGGCATTATCTATATAAACTAACCTTTCCCTTTTAGGGTTTTAAACCTAACTCATAGGCAAGTACATGTATTTTCCTACTTAGATTAGTAGATAGACGTGCCCCATCTGCTACTTTGTTCTAAAAGCATAAATCTCCCCTTTTCTTTTTTATCAAAGTTAGTTATCTTTGTTTAGTTGAAATGAGTACTATAAGAGATGGGAATCAAGAAAATAAATGGTACATGACTTTCCAGCCACAGATTTGTTTCCTCAAGTAATGAGAAGTTTAAAGATGTATACTTTGTTTGTTTGTTTTTAACAGTAGCGTTCGGGCCAACTTACGTGCATCTCAACTAATTCCACCTGGTAACTTCGACCTCCCAGCAATACATATACCGAATAACTATGTCCATCAAAACTTAGACATATGGAAAGACGTATATTTATTTCTAATTCATCAATACACAAGAAATGAGAAAATGCTTGTGAGATTCCTTTCTTCTGGAGGTTGGATATGTAGAATCTTTCTTCTTCTTTTTCAGCAGTTAAAGGTAATGTGCCTTTTGAGTTTAATAGTGATTTGTTCAAAGTACCTGCCTATGTTAGGTTCAACAAGTAAGATCCTTCCCCTTCAAATGTTTGATATAGAAGGGAAGTGAAAATCCATCCTTCCTCCTTTTTGTCTCACAATTGTAAGGAAAATAACTTTCGTCAATAAGCATGGAGAGCCATCTTTCCCCTTATGATAAAAAATAATTTTTCTCGGAGAAGTTTTTTAGTAATCAAATACTAAAAAAATGACTTCTTTTTATGCAAAATATTTTCCTGAAAAATAACTTTCATCATACCAAGCACCCCGCAGAGTAACTTACCTATTTTTATACTTAATTCTTCTTGTTTATACTTCCTAACCAAATATTTTACTTTCCCTGTTGGAACTCCTCTTCTTTTATTCCTTTCACCAGAAGAGAATTGATATATGATTTCTCCACAATATCTACTCAAAGTTCAAGATTTGAAAAGAACTTATTCTCGTCTGATGCATACTTTGATTTAAATGTGCAACATAACCTTAAGCAGAAAATTCAAACTTGGCATATAGTATAGGTCATTTCTTTCCACATCTAAAATTCATGCTCGGAATCAAGGATTTAACTCCAAAATATCCAGACATAGAAATTGTTCGGGGAATAAAGGGTGAAAATTTAAGGACAGTTGTGAAGATAAAACATAAAGAAGCTACTTTGAAACGTTTGTGGATCAAAAACTTAAGAGAAATAAGCCCAAAAATGTCTCAAACAACTCATTCTCACTTTAGATTAAGGGTGCCTAAACGTGAAGAATTCCTCAATGAGGTGGAATTAACCTATTGTATCTGAGTTCTAAAGCTAGAAGCAGGGTTTGTGGAAAGCAGATACATCAAACACCAATATTTGGCACATATGGTAAGAAGCCCGATTACTGGTTCAGCCGAACCCAGAAATTTTGCTCAAATAGTGTATTTATGTCAAGAAATTTATTAAATATGTACAAATATAAAATTTAGAACCCTATCAAAAGCACTTAAAGTCATCGTTCTAAAATCCAGAACCCATAAAGTTAAAATCCTAACTCCGCCTTGACATGAAATAACATTTAATTTAAGTGATCCTGAGCAGGAAAAGTGCCAAAAGTATGAACCCACAGGTTAATCAAGATAGGCCTCTATTTATACGCACTAGATATTTGGTAAGAATAGCCAATACTTAATGCTTTTTCTACCTCATTGATCTGGGAATCTAAGAACCATAGGAGTACCTGTCAACTCATTCCTAGGACAACGCCATTAGATATGTATAAAGATCATCTAGTACCCTATACTCTGAAAAAGAAAAAAGATACTTATCCAAACAAAATTTTTGATAACGAGACAGATCTGGGTATATACACAGCGAAAATTCAGTAGCTACATCCTATCTGAGATGTAATAAGGAGTTTAACCTATGTGCAATATGACAATGAAAATAGGATGTTCGTAGTTCTTTAAGATGCTATTTGTCTGCAGAAAGCAGAAGATATTCCAGGAGCTGCAAGCTGGACATGCGGCCATCACAAAAACTGTGCTAACCGGAGAGAACAAGTATGATTAATCCTAAATGATATTACGACATTCAGAATTACAAATCTAGTCAACACTTTTTCAATCAACTAGGAGGTATATAACAAACTAATCTAATTACCATCCGGAAAGGATGTCGAAGGAACCAATTTCGCTGTTCTAGTTTAGACTAGATGAATGAGGTTTGACACAATAGTTCTCATCCTGTGAGTAACTTTGAATTGTGTCCTTCAAAACTGTGAGAGGAGTTCAAGCTTACGAGCTTGGAAGAATTTGCATCGGCCTTTCCCACTTGACTCAATATCTTCACTTTTCCTCTTTACACCTGTGAAACCAATATCAGTTAGCTTCACCTGCCGCTTACTAGCTCTTCCGTTGGATTCATCTTCATCATTGGCATCAGATTCCCTATGGAAACCACATAAAAAGGATCCACATTAAACAATAATAGCAATATGGCTTGAACTGCCTCTGTTGTAGTAGGAAAAACTTATTAAGCTCTCACTCGTTTCAAAGTTCCAACTCTCTAATAAAAGAGCCGTAGAGGAAGAATAGCTCAATAGAGGCGAGGATGCTTTTTCTTTCTTTTAAAGAATGTTTTCTTATCCCAGCACATTTCCAATGGTTATAAGCTCGCAAATGAAAAGATTTAGAGGGAAAAAATAGACTGATTGATATGATTAACCACACAGAGTGACTTGAGGAGAAAGAAAAACAATGAGATGATAAATACAAGGATCCCTGCATGCTCCAATTGCATATTAAAGTTTAATCATGTGAAATGTTTTATGGGAGTTATAAATGGACTCACCATAGTACTTCAACATTGTCCTTGGAGTATGAATTACATGTTCCCCAGCTGAAGCGGACCAAGGTTGGGAAACCAAAAACTACGTGTTTGTGATGATCCAGCCAAGCTTTTGTCTCAGGATCTACAGGCAAAAATGGATGCCAAATTGCCCCATCCATTTTGAGTAAGATATTAGAATCTAGCAACATATCTTCACAACTTTAACTGAATGGAACTTAAAAACTACCTCCAGGATATCCAGATCCAAAGTTCTTATGCATGTTCTCAGCAGTTTCATCAAGCACCCAATCCCGCAAGGCTCGGTCCCTAGTAACCTGAAAGATGGTTCAAGATGACATTAAGAATTATACATTCAGATTTTAGTCTTGCAAAGGGAGATGAAGAGAGCGAGACAAAGTGGCAGATGTCAAGTCACCTTTGCAACAATACTGGCTCCACTTACTACGGGGTAAACACTGTCAGCTTTTTTTGCAACAACAAATTTGATTGCTGGAAATATTTCAGAGAGCTTCACCCTATACTTTTCGGGATCACCAACAGTATCCACATAAACCTGAAATGGATTCATTAGTGCATTGCTTCTGATAATGTCTAAGTAGGCATTTGGCCATAAGTTATGGAAGTTTTTTTTCAAAAAAAAAGTTCAAATATGTGTTTGTTTATAGAATTAATCTAGTTTTTGGGAGATTTTGAACACCAAAACTTCAAATCCCAAATATAGCTTAAGACCTCTTTTTGGGCCAAAATCATGACCATTTGGGACTTTTTAGCTAGAAAAAAGAAAAAACGGACTTTTTAACAAGTCAAAACTTGCCCCAAAATTCATGTCCAAACACATTTTCAATTTCAAATCAAACTTCACCCAAATCAGCTTTTTCAAAAAATATTTGGGAATCTATGTCCAAACGGGTCCTAAATAACTTGTGGAGTAAAATATATACTTCATTTGTAAATGTTATTTGTTTCCTTTTTGCTTCATAGTGAAGTACAGGCATCCAGGAAAACGACTGATGTTTATGTCTTCTGGAGCAATTTATACCATATAGTATACTAACAAAAGTAAAGGTGTGATGACCAAAATCAAAGCAACTATATTTTTGGCTAGATATACTGGGTTGTTTGTGGCAGAGAGAGCACGGCATGCACATATTCCCATAGAGGAGAATGTTGCATTCTGAAAAAGTAAATTTGGAAATGTTGAGGTCTGACAAATATATGTGGACAGAAGATGCCATCAGGACTCTAGGTTGAGCTCAGTGTTGTCAAAGGCGAAAAGCGTTAAAACGCGCTCCATGCCTACCAGGGCTTTAAGCGAAAAGTGCAATTAAAGTGTGGGCTTTAGTTAAAAAAGGCGCAGAGAAGAAAAAAATAAGATATATATGTAACGCAAGAAATAAGTAATAATTTCATTCATAATGATTTCCTTAACAAATAATATATTCTTTTGCCAATCATATTTATTGTTTTGTATTGCTCTATTCAAGATAGAACTTATGGGCAATGAGGTGCACGCCTTAGTGCTTTGCCTACACTGAAGCGCAACCTAAGTGAAGTGAAGTGCATACCCTGAGCTTTTTTGAGCTTCAGGGGAGCTTGGGGCTGCTAAGAGCTAGGTAAACTGCAAACAGTTTAGTCTGGTTGAGTATGTGGTCTTAAATTTTGACATAAAAGAGTTTCGTTCCAGCGGTATGTTATGTAAACAGCCTCATCTATCAGGTATAGCAAAATGGCTAAAGGTTGAATTTCAGAAGCTGGTACATAAGTTTGTCATTTAAGAAAAAGATAACCTGTAGATATCCGGAGCTGAAGGAGCCTGATTTATGTAATACATATTTTGGTTAGAATAACTTCGCCAACGTGAGTTATGCAAAGCATAGTCGGTCTCAAGCCCGCATAAAAGAGGAGAATTTGTAGTGAATAGACGAACAACATAAAATTAGTCTAATTATGATGAATCCTCTAAATGGGTTATGCATGATTCCTATATCGGAACTCAACTAGTTTGGGATTGATTGATTTATATTTTGGTTCAAACAACAAGGGTGGTTGAAGTACAGTTCTTCTTTCTGACTTATTTCAGTTTTTCTTTCCCCTCTCTTAACTGTCAGAGAACAGGAGCTCTATGTACGCCAACTAACGAAAAAGAAACAGGAAGCATAAAACAGTAATACTCATTCTTCTCTTCTTCGTTCCTTAATTTTGTTCCCTTACCAGGGATTAGGTGGAGTCAGGTGTGGTAGGACACACATTTAACTTTTTATTCAACCATCAACCCATGGATCAAATAAACCAGGAAATGAAGTTGGAAGGTTGAACGTAGAGTTAGCTGGTAGTCAGCACCATAATAGTCTCCGGAACACAAGCAGCACAACCAGGGAAAGAAGTTGGAGAGCTGAGTGGTATGTTGTAAAAAGATCTGATAGAGTAACAGTGAGTAATCAGTTTTCTGATCAGCAGTCAACACCACTGCAGAGTTGGTTGGTTTGGCTCTACCAACATGATTCAAGTTATTCAACTTATCCTCTTCTCTTCTTTTATGTTGTGGTGTTCCATATAACCAACTTGAGTCGGAGTTGTTTGATAGACATCTACTTACCACCAGAAATCACCCTATCATTCTGTTGGATTCCCATCTTTGTTTGTAGAGCAAAAGGGATAATTCTTAAGCCCAAAGCCTCATATAGCATGGCAAATGCACCTGAAGTCCTTCCTTGACTCTCTATAATTTATATTATTATTTCCTTACTTCACCCCACCCCCACCCTCCAAAACAAGAAGGGGCATATCTTCTTCTGCACCAATTTTCAGTAAAAACTGGGACAAACTAAGTTGGACGTACACATATTCCAAGAAAATGAAAGTTTCCCCTTTTGCTAAAAGAATACACTAGTCAGTGCAGCATAGACATCTTCAAGGGAGGCAAGTCTATCAAATTCAAAATAAGATAATTTTACCTCAGTTAAAAGAACACCGAGGTCCAGTGCCTTCCTTACAAGGCCAATTGCAGAATTATGTGATATTTCATTAAGATTTATTTTGGTTCTGTGAACAAGTAGAAAAGGGAAAAAAAATGTGAGGAGTTGATAAAATTGGAGTATGATAAACCAAAAGAGAGTTTTGTACAAACTTCTTTAACATCTTGTCTGAGAGATCTCTTGGATCTATCACATCAACCGCCCATCCGATGGATTCATTTGTCTTTAATTCCTCGAATAATTCTTCCCTCTTCTCTTCTTTCAAAGTCTTCGAGTCTGTATCGTTTATCCAAAAAAGAAAAACAAGTTCTTGAGTCTGCATGAATATGAAAGAAATTTGCAGGTAATATAGTTATTTGTTATAGGTAGAGAAAACAACATGAAATCTTATGCCAATCATCCAATATTTTCTCTAACATTTTATCAGGATATATAGCTTCTTTTTGTTACATTCACCTGGCAGCGGATTTGCTGTAAAATTTTAAACGATCGTCTTCGCACTTTAAGGAAAGGCAGTCTTATAATTCTATACAAAACACCTCGATGTGGATTCAGTTATCACAGACTCAATAGGAAGAAAGGAAAGGAAAAGAGAAAGGAACAAATATGAAAACTGAAATAGTGATCCTCACTTTCTCTGAGTTGGGAAAAAGAAAACAAACCCCAGCAGTCTCAAGAAGCAATGAGAAAGGTGCAGTCATATTGAGTATAACAGAAAAAAAAATGGGAATGAAGAGATGCCAATTGAGAGACCTTATTTTAAATAGATAACCCTTTAAGTTAGTTGTGTCTACTCCTAGTAGACATAAACCTCATGGGTAGTTGATATGGCAACTTCCAACACTGTTAATCACCGCAAAACCTATAAACATCCAAAACATGATAAAGATGGGATGAAATCAGAGGCTTATTCAATTGAACGACATCGTTATAACTCAATTACACTTGTATAATTACAAAAAATCAAAATGCACCTATTTCTGCGTGCTCTGAAAGCCAGCATTAATAGAATTACATTATACGGATGGGGCACACCAAACAAAATGTGTGCCTTTACTGACTGGCACAATCCTAGAACAGCATTTCTTTTGTTAGTACGTGTAAATTTACTGCTGATTCTTATATTCAAGTAAATTGTTTTCTGTTGAAGCGTCTACTAACTAGGCGCATGGTGAATAGTTTCTGCAATAGTTTTCTTCTACATTGTGCTCAGCATTTCCTTTAAATGTTTACTAGTTCTTCATTGCACTAAATTGTAATTCAGAAAGAAAGAGACAGCATTTTAGAAATTTATCTACTTCACATAAATGTGGCATAGTATACATTGATTATTATCTTTCAAAAAACTGCAAGCACAGTGCCCATTTGGAAGCACTTCATCATCAAATCAAAACTCAAGAACAAGCAGACCCTCCATCAACAAGAATGAGTAGTAGGCGGCCAAATATGCCAAAACAAATATAAGCAACTAAAACACTCAATGCATCCTTTGAGAAGATACTCGAATCCAAATCCAATGTATATCAAAGAGTAAAGGCGGAACAACAACAAATACGTCTCAATACAAACTAGCTGACATAGACTATATGAATCTTAAATATCCATTCTGCTCTATTTGGTCTCCTAATCCTTTCTTATCTAACATTATAACCCCTGATATAGAGCTTGCCTAGGAGAGTACATCCACATATTCAATATATCGAGGATCCATTATAATTTTGACTAATTTTAGTCTGCTGTAATTATCCTCGTTTATCGGGGATTTGAACTGGAAATGTGAGCTAAGGTAGCAAAAATAAAATAAAATAAAAAAGAACTAAGTGTCTTAATAAGTTACCTGCAAATTGTAAAGTGGAAAGAGTCTTCTGGTACGAACGTGCACAGTACAAGCATCCGTACACCATTGGTCCTGTAAATCATATGCAGATAAGGAATTAAGCAGAAATGCATCCCCCAGCAGTCAGTGAAGAGCAAAAGAGGGGATGAATAAAGGGGGGAAAGGAGTACCTAAAACAGGACCGCGACCAGCTTCGTCAATACCCATGATACAAGGTTTCGATGCCCATATCGGAAGCTGTCCTAACGAACCCATTTCGGCTGCGCACCACCCCAAACCCCTCTCACTAATCACAATCACTGCCCTATTCCCTCTCTCTCTCTCTCTTTGCTCACTTCCCGCCAGAAAGGGGCTCACTTCTCCACGAGACTATCCATTTTCAACTCGTGTATTTTTTAACCCTCAAGCCTTAACAATAATAGCCAGGGACCATTCCTTTTTTTTTTTCTGTCAAAAATATATATTTTTTCAAAATTAAAGTATTTGGCCAAACTTTTAGAAAGGAAAAAAAATACTTTTGAATAAAAGTACTTTTTAAAATTATTTTTGAGATAAATACATTTAAAAGTACTTTTTAAAAGCTTGCCAAATATTAATTGATGTTTAAATATGAATTTTAAATTAATTAGTTAAATACAAATTATTTTTTACCAAAGTTATATTTTAAAATCACTTTTCATAATAAGCAAATTTTAAACGCTTAGTCAAACAGGTTATAAGTCATTTAGCTTAATTTTAGTGTGGACTCTAACCAAACCGGATTGGGCTAATAAAGACCAATTGTAGCTTCAAGTCTAAGCAGTTGAAAATGGATCCTCGCAAAATATAAGAAAAATATATTATATTTTTAGCCGCTTTCAAAAATATATAATTTAATAATATATACATATAAAATACATATTTTATATACTTTTTGGCTAGCGACTAGAATTAGTTTCGGTCAACCAACTAATTTTGTATTTAATGCAAAATGCAACCCAATCCAACAAGGCCCAAGCAGCTGGGCTAAACGTGATCTTAGGCCTGGTCCATAATGGAAAAAAAACACTGCTCCTTTTCCTTGACAATTTTACATGCTATAGCTAAATAATTATTTATTATAAACCAAAACACTTCAAAAATATTATACTATTTATAGTCAATTTTTATATTTGATAGCAAACTACAAATATATACAATTGATCCCTCAACTTTTCCCTCAACTTTCTCTCTCTCTCTTCTCCCTAAACTCTCTCTCCTTTTTCCTTCTCTCTTCGCCCTCGGCAAGGCCGCCCGTCCAGCCAGTCATCTTCTTTGGCAGAGCTCTACCGGAGGCCAACAAAACAGCTACCTCTCTCTCTCTTCCCTTCTCACTTTAGGTACTCCTCTTATTTTAACTTGCATCCCCACCCCTAAAATAACACTAGATACAAAATCAACTCTTAGTTCTCTCAAGGATAATCACCAATAGAAAGCTTGCTTAGATAATCATCGGTGTGTAAGCAAAGTGTGACTAATTCAGCAAGAAATGTTAGTTCGGTAAGGAGTTATGTCAATAGATTTAAAACAACCGGACAGTAAAACTTCTCAAATATATTCATATAAGGTGGTTCCCGCCTCTCTCTCTTTCTTCTCTCATCTCTACCCTAAGATCTGGATCTGAAAATCATGAAGTTATGATGGGTCCATTACCGGTGACGAAAACAACAAAGGAGAAAGATCGGAGGCCTCACCAGATCTGGATCTAGCGGGGATGCCGAAATCCATGGCTTCTTCTCCTTCTTTGTATCTCGCATCTGAGTGTATTCATCTGACCGGATTTTGGTATAACAACCGGCCATTAAAACTTCTCAAATATATTCGTATAAGGTAAATATCGCCCATCTCTCTCTCTCTCTCTCTCTCTCTCTCTCTCTCTCTCTCTCTCTCTCTCTCTCTCTCTCTCTCTCTCTCATCTCCACTGTCAGATCTAGATTTGAAAATCACGAAGTCGTGATGGGTTCATTACCGGGGGCGAAAGCGAAGATCGGAGGCCTCACCAGATCTTGGATCTAACAGATCGGAGATGTCGGAATCCATAGCTTCTTCTCCTTCTTTCTTTCTCATATCTAAGTCTATTCGCCTGACTGGATTTTGCAAGATACAATGTGATAGTATATTCTCAGATCTGGCAGGATTTTTGTTCGTCTTTACTTTTAGTTTTAATACAATGTATATAGTGCTTTGTTTGGTCAGATGATGCCATCTCCGGCAAACTTTCTTCTCTTCTTTGTTATTGAGTCATATACAATGATACAAATACATTGTATTATGTACAAATACACTCAAATTTGAGTGTATTCTATTTTTTCAATGCAATACAAATTTGTTGTATATCGCCTGTATTTATGTATTCTGAAAGACTTTTTTTGTGGTAGATCCCTGTAATTTTTGAATTTTTATTGTTTGAATACAACCGAATTAAATATAGTAAATTGAATATGGTGTAAAAGTGGCTACGAATGAATACAACCGAATATCCCTATTTCTTATAATTTTTTGTTGTTTGAATATAGTAGAATTGAATACAGTGAAACTGAATACAATGTAATATAATTAAGAATGAATATAGCTAAATTAAATACAATGTATACAACCGAATTGAATAGAGCAATATACACGCTGTTTCTTAATTTTTTATTGTTTGAATACAACGGAATCAATACAGTAAAATTAAGTACAATATAAAATATATAATAACGAATACATCCGAATTGAATACAGTGTATACAACCGAGTTGAATATAATGACATACATCCCATGCCAAGCAATTAGTAGATACATAATGTAATTAGCTAAATTATAGCTAGACCCAACAATAAACCTCAAAACAATAGTCATTTCTGAAAGTTCCCATTTTCTCTTCTCCTGCACCATATTAAAGGTGTACGATTAAGTTGCAACAATGAGGCAACAACTTCAATCTATGTATATCCTTGTTTGTTCACTGTAATGACACGGCCAATCGTTTTGAGTGTTGTAGCCCCGTTCCCCCATTTATTGTTTATTCCATGCTGAATAATTATTATGTGACTTGTCGGAATAATTGGTTTTGTTCCGGGGATGTTTCGGAATGAATAGGGACACTTAGTCCCAACGTTTGAAGCCTAAGTTAAAAGGGTAGACCGGATGTTGACTTATGTATAAACGACTCCGAAATAGAGTTTTATTGGTTCTAATAACTCCGTAGGGTGATTTTGAACTTAGGAGTGTATCCGGATAGTGATTTGGAGGTCCGTAGTTGATTTTGGCTTGAATTGGCAAAAGTTGGAAAATGGAAGTTTGGAGAGTTGAGAAGTTTGACCGAGAGTTGACTTTGTGGTTACTGGGCTCGTATTTTGGTTCCGGAAGTTGGAATAGGTCATTTGTGTCATTTATGACTTGTGTGCAAAACTCAAGGTTACTCGGAGTTGATTTGATAGGTTTCGGCATCGATTGTAGAAGTTGAAATTCATTAGGCTTGAATTGGGGTGTGATTCACGTTTTTGATGTGGTTTTGTGTGATTTGAGGCCTCGACTAAGTTCATGTCGTGTTTTAGGACTTGCTGGTACATTTGGTTGAGGTCCCGGGGGCCTCGGGGATGAGTTGGATGTATATCGGATTGTATGACTTAGGGGAAATTTCTGGGCTGCTAATGTTTGGTGTCATCGCACCTGCGGAAGATTGGTCGCCGGTGCGTGACCGCAGAAGAGAAGAAATGGTCACAGGTGCGGTCCGGGAAGAGTTAGGTAGTGGTCGTAGGTGCAAAGGAATTTTCGCATCTGCGAGCCCGCAGATGCGTCAGGGTATCCGCAGATGTGGATCGTGGGAGGCAAGGCTGAGATCCGCATAAACAGATGATTTCTCGCAGAAGCGCACCCACAGATGTGGAAGATTGGCCGCAGGTGCGCGAGGTCGGGGGTTGAGTGTTTTTCGCATAACGGATTTTTGACCGCAAAAGCGGTAGCGCGGAAGCTGCTATTTGGACCGCAGAATCGGAACCACTGGCAGTGTTTAAAAAAATGAAGGGTTCCAAGGTTTTTATCGTTTTTGGACTTTTCAAGCTCGAATTAAAGCGATTTTTGAGAGGGGTTTCGAGTGATTTCTTGAGGTAAGCCACTTTTGATCTTTTTATTCAATAATATTGATTACCCATTTAATTTCCCACCTAGTTTATATATTTTTAAGGTGGAATTTTGGGAGTTTTGGGCTAGGGATTGGAGAGTAAAATTTGGGGATCTAAGTGATAATTTGGTGTCGGAATTTGGTATGGTTGGACTCGTGGTTAAATGGGTGTTCGGATTTTGTAACTTTTGTTGGATTCTGAGACGTGGGTTCGGAGTTGACTTTTTGACTTTTGATAAAGAACTTAGTATTTTCATATGGAATTGATTCCTATAGCTCGTGTTGATTGTATCTAATTGTTTGTGGCTAGATTCGAGGCGTTCGGAGACTGATTCGCGAGGCAATGGCTTATTGGAGTAGAGATTTGCACGGTTTGAGGTAATAACACTTCTAAACTTGGTTCTGAGAGTATGAATCCTGAATTACATGTTATGTGATTGGTGTGAAAGTGACGCACATACTAGATGACGGACGTGTAGGCGTGCACCGTAGAAATTGTGACTCAATCGATTCCCTGGATCTGTGTAGTCTAATAATTTTATCATTATCCATGTATTCTTCATGTGTTAAAGAAACTATGTTGTGACTCATGTTAGAAATCATGCTTAGGCTATGTGTTGGTATTATTGGGACCCACGGAGATCGTGCTGATGTTGAATTACTTGCTTAATTTGCAATTATGTACTCAATCACATCTATCATTTGCATATCATATATCAGTCTCTGTTGCTATTTATTGATACATCATATCATTATTTTTGGGCTAATTTTCATGACATTGTGAGCCCGAGAGACTGGAGAGATTTATGACTGAGTGAGGCTGACGGCCTGGTTGTGAGAATATTTATGGGATCGGGCTACATGCCGCAGCATGCTTTGTTGATCATGCCATGATTGGCTTATTTTAGCGCTTGGGCAAGATACGCCCCTTTGGAGTCTAACTTATCAACAGTGAGCGCAGGTACCTGCTGAGTGCGAGTGTTGAGTGACTGTAATGATTGAGTGACTGTGAGGATTGTGTGACTGGGAGCAGGGTCGGCTCTAACATAGAATGGGGTAAGGTAAGTGCCTTAGGCCCCCAATTTTTTTTTTTGGGGGGGGGGGGGAGGG